TATTTTCTCTTCAGTAGATGGTGCAAGGTGGGAGGGAGAAGGCTAGCATGGATTCTACCAATTACTGCCCTGAATTTACACCATATTGTAGTATGTGTGGGCAGCAAGACTGACTAGCAGAGGCTTTTCATACCAACATACTTTCCTCTAGACTCAGGGATGAGAGTAAAGCACATTACCACAGATGTTTGAATGAACCCACAAATAGTTTTATTTCTTATCTCTTATTACTCAATTCATAAGATGTTGTCTACATACTGTGAATAGAAAGGGCTCCTGTTCTGAGTTGACTGACAGAGCTAACTGCAAAATGTCTTGAGAAAAGTGGGGTGCCATCCAACCGTTGCCACTTCACCTTCGGTTCTGGATAACCCTGAACATAGCAAGCCAATGTTACGTTTGAGCCAATATCCACAGATACATCACTAGGTTCTTGTGTGAAAACTGGAGAAGCTATGAGAGGAATACACAGGAAGACAAAAATCATAGAATCATCAATACAATTTTAATATTTTTTTTATCATGATCAGATAAGGGATCCAATTTTATATACTGACTCAGAGCCCACTCACACACATTATTTGCCCTGGTCTAGGTTTATTGGCACCCTACCATCATCTTCTCATGATGGCACTACATTTCTGTAGCTCTTCTACAACTGAGCTGATTAACTTCTGGCTTAATTCTGGGGCTGGTGAAAATGCTTTGAGAATAGATCTGTAGTATTACTGCTAGAGTTGGGAGGTGGGTAGTTTCCCACTGGTGAGAATTCTGGCCTCCACCTGCCTCCTCAGCATTCTCCCTGTCCCTGCTGAAGATACTATCATCTCCCTCTGTTTTTTCGACAGAATGGCTCTCCCTCCTCTGTGCTGAAGTCAAGGCATTTAACGTTGGCCACCATCTGGAACTTAGCCATCATTTCTTCTTAGTGAGCAGTGTTACCCTGCCCCCACATGCAAACATAGTGAGGCAACAGGGGATGCTGGCAGGAAGACCATGTTTGTGCTTCTCCATTGGGGAAGTTGGAAGGCCTGTTGGGTGGCTCATGGGAATATTGCACATTGCCAGGAGACCTTGAAGACATTCATGTGGTGATGCAGAAATACTTCTGAGGGTTTGGGAAGTAAAGCCAGTAGCTTTGTGGATGTGTTTTTAATATGACCCTGTGGATGTAATCATGCAAGACAGAAAGCAGCATTTCTCAACCATGAATTTCTCAGATGGTCTTCAATATGCTGCATAGGCACTAAGTTTTTAAACACATATTCCTCTAAAATAGGAATAGTTCTGTACCGTGCAAGGTGGCTGAAAGTACTTTTCATAGTACAGGATTATTTAAATAAAAAAAGAAAATGGTGATAAACTAAGGCCAATTGCTCCAAAATACCTGTAACTTTGCATTTCATACCTCATCTCATCTCATTCATATATATACACACGCACAAACATACATACAAGAATTATGACAACCGTCAGAGGTGTTAGTTGCTAATCCATGGGCAAGAATCATAAAGCTGGTAGGTACTAGAAAAGCTACTTACTTGGTCGGTGACCAACATTGTTGTGACTCAGTAAGATACGTTTATATCATCATTGATGATTTAAAAAAAACATTGAAGATAGTTTGTGTTTGATATGTTTTTGCTGTGCTTTTTTTGGGGGGGGGGGGAAGCAAGCTGCCCCTCACATCATTTGGTTCCAGAATAATTATGAAGGAACATCTGAGAATTCAAGGCATTTTTTAACACATTTATAGATGTTGCATAGCTCCTTCAATATAAATTCTATTTGGAGAAAGTGGGGCACCATACAGACACACATACCCTCTGGTCATAGACATTGTTTCTGAATATTGTGTGTTTTGTTTTGTTTTGTGGCATGCACTTTCTCTCTCAGGGATGATCCTGAAAGTTAGCAAACCTTCTGAAGCAGCACAGGAGGATGCATATAGAAAAGAAAACCGGGCATCATACCTCTCAGCAGTGGGGAATCACTTTCCATCTACACAAAGTAGGTTCATATAATATCAAGTAATATAATATAATAATAATATAATAATAATATTAATACCAAATAATCTCAAGCAATAATAATATTATAATATTAATAGCAAATAATATTATAATAATATCAAATGATATTCATATTCACATAATATTAATATCCTTAACTGAGTAAGTTACAACTAATAGAATGGACGGATCACATTTTATATAAAACATCTAATTGGCATGCTTTGTTCTAGTATCATACTTACAACCAACATCCAGAGTGATTTTACCAGATGCAGTTCCTGCATCATTTGTGGCAACACACATATAATCACCAGCATCCAGATCTTGTGTTTCCTGAATCCTCAGGATACCCCGAGAGAAGTCAATAATAAGAAACTCTGTTGCCCTCAACTCTAAATCCCCTAGATCCAGGGAAAGAATAATGAAATTGTTGTTTAAATAATAATAATAAACTCCTACTCAGAAAATTAAATAGCTTTCTCAGAGGCAACATAATGGTACTATTGTTTTCTAAATGTTCAGAAGACTTTCATGTCTGCCAAACTGTCGAAAACAAGAAGCCCTCATCAAATACAGCGATATTATCTCTGTAATGTTTACTATGGGGTTTATATCAAACTTTGCCTGAGAAACAATATTTGAACTTGAGCCAATGCATAGTCTGTAGAAGTGGTAGTTTTCAAAGCTTTTCTTCCCATCACATATGCTCGCTTCCTTTTCCCTAGATATTTAAGACGGCTTCTCCATGCTAGCTAATTTACGATGTCCATTTCAAGCTGTCCATAGGTACTATAGTTTTAATTCATGGGAAATGGGTAAATGCATTCAGACAACAAAGCAAGATACTGAGTTATCACATGGGTGATAGACATATTCTTGTGATTTTAAAAGAAACTCAGCCAACCAGTTTTGGTCAGGTACCTTTAAACCATTTAATTGATGGAGGTGGGACCCCACTGCTTTTACATTCCATGATAGAGGTGTCTCCAAGAGCAATCAGAAGTTCATTTTGGACTACAGTCACCCTAGGGAACTCTGCAAAGGAACAAGAAAATAAGAAATTACAGATATGGATGTCTGAGTCGTTTTTTTCAAATTATTTGGAAAACTGTACAAGGTATATTGTAATGCTTAACATTACTATTTCAGAATGTAATTATTAAAATGTACCAATAAATTGGAGGACTTAAATTAAAGAGGATGCACTGTTTTTTTATAAACCCTTTGAAGCTACCATATGTATATTCTACTTTTCTTCCAAGAAGCTGAAAGCAGGATATATATAAGGAAACCCCCATTTTATTTCATAACATGCAGGTTTGGCTGAGAATGGCTGGCCCAAGGTAAGCTAATGGAGGATTAAACCTGGCTCTCCTGAGTCAAAACTCTTTTGTTGCCAATGGAAGGATTTATCTAAACTCTTTCATCCTCGCAACGTACAGTATGTCTGAATTGCCTCCACCTTGCATGTGGTGATTCCAATTCAGATTCTCAGTTTTCTCAGAATTAAAAAAGTTTAAATAGGAAGTAGAGTAACACAACACACCTTTTATATATCCTATGGCCAACTGTTAGACTTAAGCCCCTTGTGGAATAATTTCAGAATGCTTAGGTAATTGCAAGTACTCTCTTGAAAACAAACAAATCTTGAATCCAATTTCTTCATGCAATATTTTCACTTATTCCTCTTTCAGACTGATAAAAGACAGGCCACTCAGTAACTGAGCTGCTGTTTTGTGGGTCTTAGTGAATATTCCTACCCTAATGTTTAAATAATCATACACTGATCACCAGCGTCCACAAACTACTCTTTAACTTTCTTACTTGCCGAAGTTAGCAACAAATGAGGGAAGTAATCAACTACGCTCTGTAATTTATAATGTGTTTATTTATTTTGTTCCTTATACTTGCCAATGTATGTGAGAACAGCTGTTTCTTTGACTGTTCCAGCTGCATTGCTAGCCAAACAACCATAGATCCCTGCATCCTTTGGAACTGCATTTTTTATAATCAAAGTGCCTCCAGGAGTTAACCTGTACCTGTTAAAGAGAAATCAGTAGGTCAGTGTGGTAATCTTAACATTATTATTAAAAAAAAAAAAAGAATAATACCACCATAACAGTTTGAAATGATCCCATTTTCATTTCTGCAAACACCATCCTGAACAAAAAACAGGTACACATAGTTCATATTATATAAAAATATTTACAGAGCAATTTTCCAAAAATGCCAATCTTTGATATTTGAAAAAGTCTCAAGACTGTTTCCTGCTTAGATTATAAATTATCATTCTCTATATAGCAAAAGAAAAAAATTAAATTCATAAGTCTGGGTTAGATAAACTAGACTTCTAAATG